GAGTAGCTACTGAAAATATAGGCAATAGTCTGCAACGTGGAGCCTTCCCGTGAAATGTGATCAATACGTGTTAATTCTCTCTGCTTTCATCTTCAATCAGACCCTCTCTACCTGAGCAAGTTTACTCACCAAGGTCGTTTCTGTACTCACCGTTTACCCCACCTCATCCTGACATTCTTCACATTTCTACATACAGGAAATGTATCAGGGTAGGTGTGTTTAGAAATAGAAGCATGAAATATGACCTCTGCTTCATTTAATATAACCCCTAAAACAACTGAGAAACTTCACATAGCATTGATTACTTCAACATCCCAAGTTTATCTTATTGAACTAGCTAAAACTTTTACAGGCTATTTACTTTTCTTTTTCCAAAGCCTTCCCTGAGAGAGGGTTAAAATCAATGGTTCTGCTCAAATGCTACTCTTGAGGTGTCAATGGACACAATCATTTCTGGAAAGTGAAACATCCTTCCATGTATATACACTCTTGGATCCAGGAATTCGTTAGAAATTTTCCAAAAAAGGATAATCAGAGACACACTCAATGGTTTATCTATTAACATATTCATGGAAATATTAGACACGATGCCAAATCCAGTAGGGTAGTCATTAAATTAACTATAATATAGTTTATATGGAAGAAAAGACACAGCCGTTTAAAAGTAAAATGGTAGAAAAATATTAAATTGTACCATTCCTGGTCTGTATGTACCAAGTTATTCTGTGGTAACAATAACACCAAAAACAACCTCCCAAATCCTAGTGGCTTATAGAAATACAGGTTTATCTAGTGCTCACGTCACACATCCATGTTGGGCTGATGGGAATTCTGTTCCACTTCTCCTCACTGTGGGATGCAGGCTGCAGTAGGGTGAATTATGACCCCCCGATGATAACCAGGTCCAAATCCCTGAAACCTGGAAATATTACCTTACATAGAAAAGGGTTTTTGCAGATGTGACTACATTAAGGATCTTGAGATGAGGAGATTATCCTTGGGTTATCTAGGTGGGTCCTAAAAATAACTAAAAATATTGTTATAAGAGAGAGTAAAGAGAGAATTTAACTACAGGCAGAAGAGAAGAAGCCCATGCGACAGAAGCAGAGATTGGCAGTATCTTAGAGAGAAGATATTTTGATGGTAGTTTTGAAGATGGAGGAAGAGACCATGATTGTAAGGATTCACCCTGCAAAAGTAAGGATTTAAAGGAATGAAATTCTAGATGTTGTAAAAGGGAACACATTCTTCCCTGGGCCCTCCAGAGGGAGCACAGCTCTGCCAACATCTTAGTTTTAGCCCTATAATACTCATTTTGAACTTCTGGCCTCCAGACTGTAAGAGAATGCATATGTGTTGTTTAAAGCCACCAGGTTTATGGTGGTTCATTATAGCAGCCATGAGAAATTAACACAGAGACTAAGAGAAAAGGCACTACCTTGATCATCGCTAGTTCTATGGCAGAAAGGAAAACAGCTTTGGTGGATTTGATGCCAGTCATAAGTGCTCTTGCCCAGAAATGACACAAATTATTTTCACGGACACTTCGTCCACCAAAATAAACCTACAGCCCCACCCAAACCCTGGGGGACCAGGTATCTTATCATGCACGTGAATTTGGGAGAACTAGCAATATTTGGTTAGTTGTCCTAATCACTACTCAACAGATGGAAAATACAAGTGATACAACATCCAGTGATACTCAGGGCATAAAACAATTATGATACCAATATAGGAAAATAAAACAGAAACGTGCACCTACTACAACAGAGAAAACAGCCCCAAATACCATAGTATTTTCTTTTTTTTTTTTTTTTCCAGAAAGTGGTAATATTTTCTTTTTCTCCCTTTTAATGATTTTCAACCTTACGCCAATAGGTATTTTTGCAAGTTGCAGGAAAATATACTCTGCCAGTCAGCTAGCAGGTGAGCAGTGGTGGAGGAGTGTACCAACCCAACCATAATATTCCTAACAATATTCATTTGTGAAAGTGGAAAGGCAGAAGCTAGAGACAATCACCACTTGAAGGGTCTGAGAGAAAATCGAAGCCCAAAAGATGATAAAATGGATCTAAAACATGGCAAGTAGATAATGCTAGAGTCTGGGCAAAACATCAGCTTTTCAGATTAGAAAGTTGGTGATTTTTCAACTATAATGCAAAATTCAGTCTTTTGTTTACCAGTAAAACTGATAGTTTCTTATTCTTTTTCATTTCCCTTCTTATCCCACAATTGTAGTAATGAATGTTTTCGGAACAATGGGCTCTTAAGTACATTTGTTTAATGGATTTTCCCCCTTTGGGAGGGAGAGAGCAGACACTTTTAACCTGCTAACATCCCGGCTACAGGGCATTATCTTTCCGCTTGTGCACCCACACACTTTCCTGTGTGTCTAACACAGAAGAATCTTTCAAATAATGACAATAATTTCAACCAGAATTACACAATTGTAGCTTCAGAGGCAGGATCCTTCTCTGGAATTCAGGCGTATTCGTTTGCGAGGGCTGCCGTAAAAATGTCCCATGGACTGAACAGCTAAAACAACAGAAGACTTATTTTCTCATAGTTCAGAGGTCCAGGATCAAGCTGTTGACAAGATTGGCTTTTTTCTGAGCCCTCCCTCCTTGGCTTGTGGACAGCCGCCTGCTTCCTTTGTCTTCACGTGGTCTTTCCTCTGTGCATCTCCGTGGCCTAATCTCTTCTTAGAAAGACACCAGTCCTATTTGATTGGGGCCTACTCTCAGTCCCTCATTTCAACTTAATTACCTCTTTAAATCAATTGTCTCCAAATATAGTCACATTCTGAGGTCCTGCGGATTTCAGACTTTAGCATAAGAATTCTGACAGTACACACACAGCCATTAACATCAGGTTTCTGAGAAACACTGTTTACTGACATCGAAGGAACTTCTATTTTTTGAAATAGATAAAATACCACACTGAGTGAAAAGATGCTGTCCGGAACAGCTGAGTATTATTTGGCGTAGCCTTTAAATGTCATCCTGTAAAGACCAAAATCTCTTTGGAAGAGTGCAAGAACAGGTATATATGTGTATTTAAATTTGTGAACACGTTCTGCAGACCTTGTCTTTCTGGTAAGAGACCTACTTGTGAGCACATTGACTTTCCCTGTGCCTCTCCTTCAGAGCAGGATTTGTAGAAACCAGAAGCTTCCAAGAGAATGGCAATTTACCTTGTTCCCCGCTGTAACACACAGCAGGTGTTAATTACTTTGTTATTTTAATTGATCAAAATGCCCCTAATGCCACAATGATTCTGGGCACACTTACCAACTGCTATTCCCCCCATTTATTTAAAAAGCCTGCCCTGAGTGTCTCTTTGTTTAGCCAAAATTCTGTGTTCCAAATTGTTACTGGCTCATTCTTACTAGAATATGAAATCAATTCTCAAAGTTGACCCTTAGACATACATACATACATATATATATACACACACACACACACACACACATATATTTGACACTAACTGCAATGAAAATATAAGGAGTTAACAATTTTAATAATTATCCTATTATGGGGCAAAAAACTATATCATATGAACCTGTAGAACTTTACCCCCCTCCCCCAATATAAATTTGTGCCATTCTCCTAGTAACTGGGAAAATAATGCAAGGTCTTCAATTTCCTAAATTGTGTGTGCATGTTGTGTTTGCAAGTCTTGTTTGAGTATTTACCAAACAGAGCTCAGTTGAGCACTCTTGAGATTTCTGTGATTTAAATGCACAAGCAATGGTTCCTGGAGCCAGCCCCTCACTACAATATCAGGGGAGGCTGCCGTTTCTGTCTCTTTTATCCACTGAACAAAATGATTCTGGATTGATATTTTACCTACTTTAATCATGGTAAAGATCAAAAGAAACCAAAAATTCTGTTCAAGTCTTTTGTATATGGAGCAGTTAAAGTTGATGTCAAAAAGGGTGGCCCTGGAAGTAAAGAATCTAAGTTTCCAAGGCCTCCTCCCTGACTCTGACACCGAGGAAGTCCTTTTCACCATCCTGAGCCTCAGTCGTCTCCTCTGTTAAATGGTGATCAAGCATCATCTGATATATACCGTGCATACTGCTTTATAGTTTAGAAAACACAACATATGATGCTTATCGCTATCAGCACAGAAGGTAGGGAGGGTGTATTAGAACTACCATTTAGTATATGCAGATTCTGAGGCTTAGAAAAGTGAGTGGCTCCTGGTAACATGGCTAGTGAATAGGAAAACACCACTCATTTCCTGAGGATAGAGGGGTAAACCAGATGTCCTTTTGATATCTCTTCTTGTTCTAAGATCTAAGGTTTTATTTAAAAATACAGCAAAATTTTGGAAAGTTTGCAATAACCTGCAAAAACACAAAGCCAAATATCATTTATTCATACTAAAGAGATCCAAGGATAACATAAATAATTTATATCTCCAGACAATACAAATCCTATTTTGCTTCTATGTAATTGCATTTGAACAAACAAAATAATATGTGTGAAATCATCTGCAGTGTCTAGTGTCTATTAGGTACTCAATATACGTTGGCTAAATCTAAAACTATTAAACATATTTTTTTCTTAGTCCATAAGTATTTTTTTCTTTTATCCTCCAGAACTGTTCTTCTTTAAGCATGCTCCATGAATCACTGCTTGAGAATATATCAAATCCCAGGAATTGAATCAGTTTTTTGTGGAATCCGTGTTTAGGAACAGGACAAGAAATAGCTTTCAGAACTATGTTTAGAATATTTTCTATTTCCAAGAAAGCTGATTGAAAACAGATAGAAAGCTCAGGTTTCGGACTAAGTAAATAGTATATGTGTGGTAGCCTTAGATGAATTATCCTACCAAATCTCATTGCTTTTGGCCTTTTAATATATTATGCTATATTTGTCTCTATGCTGTTCTGTAATTACTTCTCAGTAGCTTTATTTGTGTGCTTTCTTGTAAGCAACATTAAGGCAGGATTCATAAATTCCCGTGTTTTTTTCTTTCTTTCCCATTAAGACACGCAGCAAAGGGAAGTACACAGGGCAATATAAAGAAAGAAAATGGGCTTTGAAGTTAGGAGACTTGAAGCTGAATCCTAGCTCCCCAAATTATCAGGTATGTGATGATGGGAAACTGACATAACCACTGGACCTCTGTTTCTTTTTGCTGAAATAAGGATGAAGACTAAAATAATTCACAGGGTGGTTTATAATCCAATGAGTCAAAGCAGATGAAAGAGATTTATAATGGTACAAGAACTCTACAAATGTAAGGTCCTGGGTCAAACAGAGTCAGGTAGTTCATCTTCAGAAATGTTCATTTTCCTTTTAAGTGTACAAATATGGTACATTTCAAAGTATCCTTTGCAGTTTGGTGTAGCCATCTGACTGATCTATGACCAACGGAATGGGCAGAAAGTAAAAGATAGTACTTCCAGGTCTAACTCATAAAAATGTCCCATATATGTGTCTCTGTCAGCTGATTAGATATTGATTCCCAGAGTAATTGTGGAAGCTTGTACTGAAAAATGGTAGAGGCTTCAGCAGCCTGAGTACCTGAATGGCTGCGTGGAATACAGTCCTCATTCCATCCTGCTGCCAAATGGACTTTACATAAGTGGGAACTATACCACTGTTGTGTTAATGCATCAATATTTTTAGTTTATTTGGACCAGCACCTAGCATAATCCTAACTAATGCAAGTGATATTATTCAGTGTTAGACAATGTAATTTTCTTCCAATATCTGTGGGGATTTACTGTCTCTCTGTGCTGGCAGCTTTCAAATACAAAAATGTCAGTATCACACTTGAAGAATTTAAAAACCTGAAAAAGGTACAAATCAGCAATAATTATAGTACAATCACACCTGTGGTTTAACAGGATCCCAGCATCCCTAAATCATGCAGTGATTTGGTTGGCACTGTTCAGCTGGCCACCCTTGAACACTGTGTAGTTATTTGTGTAGTCTGGGCTACTTCCCTCATTTTGTTTTCATATTTGTTCATGAGACAAATTATCACACATTCTAATAACCATATGAACTTTTCCTTAGCTCATATGCAAAGCAAGTTGTGCCCACACATCACAATGTCATATAACCTCTGCAAACCAATGGATGTTTTAAAATACGTTGCTACTCATATAAGAAGTATCAGTTACAGCAAAAGTATGGCTTTCAAAGTAATCATAAGTTGGCATCATGGCTTCCCTCGTGATTCTCCCTGACGGTTCAGGGTCTGGGCTCTTTAAAGTAACCCTTAACCTTATGAAACCCAAGGCCTATACACAAAGAATTCAGTGTGGGGTTGGGAGCTCCAACAGAGTTGGGTACTTCAAGGCATGGCCCACAGACTGCTGCAGAACTGATTGGCAAGGCACTCCTCTAATTCATTTCACATTCTGCTAATCAAAAGATTATCTCTAACACCCTTTCAGCTCTGCCAGGTTTTAGTTTGTGATTGCTTTCATATGGTCCTTGAAGCTCTATCTTTTATCTTTTATCATATTTTCATGGTTGTTTCTTTTATCTTCAACATTTAACTTCTGGATCCTAACTCATGTGTATTACTCCATAGTGCCTTGTCCATAACCGCGACAAATTGTGCGCTCAGCCATGGTTCATCTAGTACGTTCTGATGAGAGTATAACAAAGATTGCCACTCCTTGGCACCTGAGCCCTGGTTTTGAAAGCACATTCATACTTTACCCATTGTAACTCTATAAAATTAGAAGAGCAAGATTCTCAATTACAGATTAGGGTACACAAGCCAAGAGAGATAAATTACTTGTTGGTGTTTCTGTGACAAAGAAATGGCAGATCTGAAACTAGTTCCGTCTTTCCTATTATGAGTTATGGTGATGAGGTGCTGACCAAAGAGAAGCAGAGAATCCTTAACCTGAAAGGGCCACAGTCATACTGCCACCTTGCGAAATACCCTCATGAATAAAAATCATAATTAAAAAAGAAAGAGAAGGCTTTTGCCCCTAATAGTCTATTCTGAACATTTCAAAAGGAAGGTTATTTCTGAATAAACCAGATTTTCTGGGGTAGAGCAGCAATGGTCTTAATAAGAGTCATGACTTTTAAGACCAGGTGCAGTGGCTCATGCCTATAGTTGTAGCACTTTGGGAGGCTGAGCAGGCAGATCACCTGAGGTTGGGAGTTCGAGACCAGCCTGACTAACATGGAGAAACCCTGCCTCTTCTAAAAATACAAAATTAGCTGGGCATGGTGGCGCATACCTGTAATCCCAGCTACTTGGGACACTGAGGCAGGAGAATCTCTTGAAACCTGACGGCAGAGGCTGCAGTTAGCCGAGATTGCACCATTGCACTCCAGCCTGGGCAACAAGAGTGAAACTCTGTCTCAAAAAAACAAAGTCATGACTTTTTAACCAGATATTTAAGTGAGGCTTCATATATGTGCCAAAGGACCTTTAGAACCTGCCTAACAGTGAGAAGATTAAGATGAAAAGGAATCTTAATTTAGAGAATTTGGAGTACTGATGAGAAGAATATTCCATACGACTTGGCAGAGACTCCTAGCTAGCTAGCCAAAACTTGTTGACACTTCCTTTGCGCCTAAAGCTAGACTGTATTTCTAAGTCTTCCATGCAGTTTTTTGTGGCCATATAAATTAAGATGGAAGCAAAAATGCCATGTTCCACCTCTAGATCTGGTCCATAAAAACTCCTAATTGTGGAACACAATGTTTTTGTTTTGTTTTGTTTTGTTTTGCTTTTTCTATAGGAGTTGCCATAGTCACAAGATATAAGGAGCTTTGATAATCACATGCAGGAGCACATTTCTGAACACCTGTCTCCTTTCATACCTGGGTTTCTTTGTTACTTCATCTTACCTTATTCTAACTAACGCAAGCGCTCAACAGAAGCATATAATGTAGTAATGAAGCCAGAAAACAACAACTACCCACACAAAAAACCCTCAGGCAATTATTGGTACTCCTGAAGCATCATTCCACACACAAAAAAAGAATTTTCAATAGAAAATTGGTTGACAAAAGCATAGCTCCATTTCAGGAGATTCTTATGTTATTCATGTATTTGAAAATGAGAAATTACCATTTATCCTATAGGCAAGTGCTGACTTTAAATACAAAAAAAGAGAGAAGAGATTGAAGTTTTTTGTTCTTCTCAAATGTGTCATCATTTGGTATAAAACTCAAGCACTCTCCAAAGTAATAACCATGACTTTGTATGACAAATTTGGGGAATTAAGAATGATTTATGACATTTATAAAAGAAATAGAATCAAATTTTAAATTTAATATTTGCATATTACATACACTATATATATTTTGTTTTTACATATTCCTCTCATCTATCTCTATCCACCCATCTACTTACTTACCTACCTGTTATGGGCTCTGAAATAAGACGGCCTGTGCTAAAATCTAGTTATGTCACTCATCTGTGGCATGCCTTTGGGAAAGTTGCATAAACTCTCTGGTTTTTATATGTTGTGAAATAAAGTGAGTGCATGCATATGGTGGCCATGAAAATGTAGCTCCCGGCCGGGCACAGTGGCTCACGCCTGTAATCCCAGCACTTTGGGAGGCCCAGGAGGGTGGATCATGAGGTCAGGAGATCGAGACCATCCTGGCTAACATGGTGAAAACCCGTCTCTACCAAAAATACAAAAAAAAAAAAAATTAGCCAGGCGTGGTGGTGGGCACCTGCAGTTCTAGCTACTCGGGAGGCTGAGGCAGGAGAATGGCATGAACCCAGGAGGCGGAGCTTGCAGTGAGCCGAGATCGCACCACTGCTCTACTGCGCTCCAGCCTGAGGGACTGAGCAAGACTCTGTCTCAAAAAAAAAAGAAAGAAAATGCAGCTCCCAGATCTCCCACAATAGCAAACATATTTGACGGGTGGCTCCAGTGGCTGACTTCCTGGATCTTCCCCCATGTTCAGCAAAGGTCTTATGCAGGCCCGATTTCTGCAAGAAGAGGAACAATTTTAAGGAGCACCTTGGCTTGAAGTCTCCCCTCATCCTGGTTGGAAGTTTCTTAGAACAGTCCCACAGGTTGAGACTCTTCCTATCCAACCTGTATCACTGTCTAAAGGCTCTTTCTCTTTGATTTGCTTTCCTTCTTTCTGTCCCTCACAGCTGTTTGGTTGTTCTCAGTAAAACTTGTGCATGTCTAATCCCATCTTGGAGACCCAAAGTAACGCGATGCCTGTCAAGAGTTAGCACAGGGTAAGTGCTTAATGCCTACTATTTTTATTTGTATTATTTTCATTCATAAAAGAGTAGATCCCATAACCACAATGGTAAAGTGGCAGCCTTAGGGGTCAGGTGAACATAGAGTAGACTTTCAAGACTAGGAAAAACATATACAACTTAAGAAAATCTCATATCTTAGTGAATATGATATTATCACTTAAAATGAATATGAATACAGAAAGCAATAAAAACACCATATAAGGGCTGACTTATAATTCACGGTTAGTTTAGATATATTTTTAGTTTTATTTTTAAAGTCCCCTCACCTTTATTCTAATTTTAGAGATGTGATGAAAAAACATTGAAGGAGTAAAGAAAAATGGAGTGTGGCTGAATTTAGGATTAAATGCTTGAATTTTATAGCATATACACAGATAAGCTCTTTCCCATAATTGGTGTAGTCTTTAAAATAAAGGAGATAAAATAAAAATAGGAGGGGCAAAATAACTCTTCTCTAATACGGAAAGTAATAGAGTATGATTTTCTATTTGTGAATTCTTAGTACCAGTCAGACATGCATTACAATACGTATTGAATGTTGCCTCTGAGTAGAGTTGAATGCTAAGTGATTTAGGAACAAAGTCAAAGGATATAGATGCATGATCGCTGATTTCTGTCACTGGGTTGCTTAAGGCTTACACGGATCTCCACATGTAAACAATTTATTAACAAATGATAACAAACTACAACCCATGCTCAGAGATGCTGTAAAAATATGTAAGTAGACAATAAGAAGTTATCTCACATCAGTCAGAATGGCTATTATTAAAAAGTCAAAAATTGACTGGGCACGGTGGCTCACGCCTGAAATCCCAGCACTTTGGGAGGCCAAGGCAGGCGGATCACCAGGTTAGGAGACCATCTATACAAAAAAATTAGCCAGGCGTGGTGGCGGGCGCCTGTAGTCCCAGCTCTGAGGCAGGAGAATGGCATGAACCCGGGAGGCGGAGTTTGCAGTGAGCCGAGATTGCCCCAGTGCACTCCAGCCTGGGCGACAGAGCAAGACTCCATCTCAAAAAAAAAAAAAAAGTCAAAAATTAACAGGTGGTAAGGCCATGTAGAAAAGGGAAGATTCATATACCACTGGTGGGAATGTAAATTATTTCAGCCACTATGGAAAGCAGTTTGGAGGTTTCTCAAAGAACATAGAACTATCATTCAGTCCAGCAATCTCATTACTAAGTGTATATCCAAAGGAAAAGAAATTGTTATAACAAAAAGACACATGCACTCATATATTCATTGCAGTACTATTTGCTATAGCAAAGAGATGAAGTCAACCTAGGTGCCCATCAATGGTGGATTTGGTAAAGAAAATGTGGTACATATACACCATGGAATAATATACAGCCATAAAACAAAACAAAATAGGCCGGGCACAGTGGCTCACGCCTGTAATTTCAGCACGTTGGGAGGCTGAGGCAGGTGGATCACCTGAGGTCAGGAGTTCAAGACAAGCCTGGCCAACATGGCAAAGCCCTGTCTCTACTAAAAATACAGAAAACATTAGCTGGACATGGTGGTGCGCACCTGTAGTCCCAACTACTCAGGAGGCTGAGGCATAAGAACCACTTGAACCCAGGAGGCAGAGGTTGCAGTGAGTTGAAATCATGCCACTGCACTCCAGCCTGGGTGACAGAGTGAGACTCCATCTCAAAAAAAAAAAAAAAAAAAAAGAGAACAAAATAATATCCTTTGCAGCAACATGGATGCAGCAGCCAGAGGTCATGATCCTAAGCAAATAAACACAAGAACAGAAAACCAAATACCTCTTATTCTCATTTATACATGAAAGTGAATCATCGGGTACTCATGGAGGGAGAAATGGGAAGAACAGACACTAGGGGCCCCTAGATGAGTGAAGGAGGGAGAAGGGCAAGGGCTGAGAACTACCTACTGGGTATCATGCTCACTATCTGGGTGATAGGATCATTTGCACCCACAAACCTTCGTGTCATGCAGTATATCCATGGGACAAACCTGCACCTGGACCCTTGGAATCTCAAATAAAAGTTGAAATCATTAAAAAACAAATGAAAACATTTCTTAATTGCCCACCACGTGTCAGGCATGGTATTCATGTCATCCCATGAACTCCTGTTGAGAGGTACTGTGAATCTTCTCTATATTCTGGGTAAGAAAGCTGAGATACAGACTAGAACACAGACCCAGGATTTTTTTTTCTTTTGGTGAGATGGAGGCTAGCTCTGCCACCCCGGCTGGAGTGCAGTGGTGTGATCTCAGCTGACTGCAACCTTCGTCTCCTGCAGACCCAGGATTCTAACCTGGATTTACCCGGGGCCAGGGCTTTTCTTTTTAACCTCTGAGGCACTGAGAGTCTACAAGGTTCCAGTCCACAATCTAAACAAAATGACTGTCAGGAAAGATGATTTTAACGGAGACAAATCTTGAGTAGATAGTGCATCTCGTAGCTTTTACAGAAGGTAATAGAGAATATTCCCAAGGATAGAATAGAGAAACTAGGGCAAAGGTACAAAATGGAAAAAAAGCAAACTATAGGTCCAAGAGAGAAAGACAGCCCCATCTATCAGCACTAGAAGCTCTGTTTGGGGAATTACTGAGAGATGAGACAGGGTGGTGGAGGGGAGCGGGTCATCGCTGCACAGCCTGAAGCGCAGGTCACGGCAGAACTGACACCTGCTGTTGAAGGCACTTTGTTCTGGCAGCTGTATGTTCTGGGCCTGGAATCCTGGCATGAGGATGTGGGGAGCCAGCTTAGGGGTGTAACTCTGGAAATGGAAAGCAGGGTGTGACTCACAAACACAAAAACACAACCAAACCCCAACTGTTTACAGAGCAAGCACTGGGGATTGGTGACATCGCGTAAAGGAAACATGAGGAGGAAAGCCAGCCTTGGTCCGCAGCTGGGCACTGGTACCACGCGGGACCGGGTTAGAACACGAGGGGGAGGCAGGAAATATTGTCAGCAGTAACAGCAAAGCTCCACAGCCCTGCTTTCCACGATCATCACACACTGTGCGCGGCCTATATATACAGGAACAGGAGGCTGGCCTCTCGGGCTCGCGGGACCCACGCAGGTGTAGAATCACCCGCTGTGGGGAGTGCAGCAGACAAAAGGGTCTCACTCAGGTCGGAGTCAGAGCTGGCCAGAATGTCACCCTCGGGCGTCTGCCAGGCCTCACAGGGGAATTCTGCCATTGATCTCACCTCACCCTTCCCCAGAGCCAGAACTAATCCCCTGTGAAAAGATTTGGAGCTGCAGCCACCATCTCCCCAGGCACCATTGTGTGTTTCTGCAGCTCAAGTGGGCCCCAGCGCGGGCAGCTAAGTCTTTGGCGCACACGCTGCTGCCACACCACACGGCTGCCTAATCAGCGCCTATTATGTTGTATAAAGCTGCACTGATGTGCCTCTTAAAACCGTACCACGGACACACCTACCATCTGACACCGTACAATTAGCCCTGCGCTCTCGGAGCCCACGGTAGCAGCGGCCTTGCCACATTAGAGGAATGGTTGCTAGAGATCCCGCACAGCCTGTATTGCCTGCGGAGAGCCTTCTCCCTTCTAGGGCAAAGGATGGGGGGTCGTGTTCTGTGTATCACCGAAAAGTGTTAATTTTCCAGAGCATTTCCTCCTAAGGAAACCACTGTGCTATCTCGTCATGTGATCCATTACGATTTACCCCGCTGGGAAATGTTCCCCCTTCCCTAGACTGAGAAAATAGGACTTCACTGAGCAATTGATGTGTTTGGCTGGAGAAGTATATTTGTTTCGGGAGCTCTGTGACATTTCACTTCACCAGATAATCTTATAGAAAACCCCTGTGACATCTCCATGTATTATATTCTATCATGTTTCACCTCCAGTCCAAGCTCCCTTACTCCCTGCTACATACACACACACAGACACACACACACAAACATGCACTCTCTCGTACACACAATCGTCTATTATTCACACACACACACAGACATTCACTCACACACAGACACATGCATATACACATCCACCCACTTATATACACGCGCATCTACTGTTCACCACACACACACACTCACCCACCCACTCACATATATATACACACACAGACATGCACCCATTCACCATATACACACACACATAGACACGCACCTGTTCACCACACATAAACAAATACACACACACACAGAATTGCACCCATTCATGATACACACACACATGCACTTACTTACAGACACACAGACATGCACTTACACACACACAGACACACACACACTCACCCACCCACTCACTCACATACATATACACACACAGACATGCACCCATTCACCATAGACACAGACACGTACCTATTCACCACATATAAACACATACACACACATACACAGACACCCACTCACAGACACACACAGACTTGCACCCATTCATGATACACATACACACACACCCCTACTCACATACACAGACATGCACCTACTTACATGTAGACACACACATACAGTCACTCACACAGACACACACACAGGCATGCACTCACACACACACAGACACACACACAGAGAGGTCAAGCTCAAATCTACTTCCAAATGCAAAGACAGGACAATACTGCAAAGGCAAACTTACAGAGTACAATGCTACTTGAAGGTTTCTCAAGCATCCGAAAGAGGCAAGGAGCTGGGTCTAATAAATACTGGGATTGGGATTCTAGCGTACAAAGTAACCATCAGGGCTTGTGCTATATATACCATGTACAAATGCAGTTTTGAACAAGGAGAACAGAGCATTGGAAACCTGGATTCTTCTTAGAAACTCCAGCTACGGGCTCTAATTGTCAGAGCAAGGAGAACAGCCAGCAGTCAAGGAGGCTGGGAGGAGAGTTTTTGTGAGCTGTAAAGGAAGTCAGTGTGCTTTCTCCAGCAGGACACTTTGTGGGAGAAGAGGAAATGTGTTTGGGGAGGCCTGTTCACACACCAAGGGGCAATGCAAATGCACTGGTGAGGGCCTTCCAGGGACACAGGGGCAGGGAATTTAAGGTTTTAGGATAATGGAAAATGTTCCCTCTGGTGCTGGTTTTTCTAACCAGGAAGTAAGAAAGTTTCTACCTTTCTCAAAATCTGTTTTTATCCATCTGTAGGCTCAGGAACTGAGACAGCTCTCCAGCTGCAACTTAAAAAATAAAATACAATAAAATAAAAACTGAACCTTTGATAGTAAAACATCTCAATAGCTGTTTTTTGTTACTGTCATTTTAGTGGTGGTGGTGGTGTATCCCCCAATCTTTATTCTGATTCACCTTCTGCTCTGAAACTGCAACGTTTCTTGGGAAGTGCCAAGAGAACAGTTTTTGCTGAATTTCCAGCTGGAAGTTTTAAGAATTAAAATGTCCCAGTATGTCAGCACTCATGCTATTTCTAGTCATGCTTTGAATCAGATGTGACTAAAAATATGGATTTTCAGATTCTGACAAAAAAAAAAAAAACACCCAAAAAACAAAAAACACTTTAACTTGACATACTTTGAGAATACCCAGGTACTTACCTATTTATCTGGAGTTGGAGATGGTAGCTTCTGGTCAAGGGGAAAGGTCTATTGAATATTTTGCAACAAAGAAATGTTTAAAATAGACTTGTCTTCTATTCAAGTTCAGCTTCAGAAGTCATGCCATCTCCTATCCCTGAGCCACTTGTGGTGATTTATGTTTTTGTATCAGAGTCTCTTAAAGCACATGAGATTTTGTTTTCTTTTTTTGTACCCCAGATTCCCTCAATGTATAAGATGAGGAGCCTCAAGAAAAGAATTGAATTTTGGGGGCCGGTAGTCAATGTCAGCACATTCTCTAATGAGCTCTAGCCACAGTGAACTGCCATACCGATGAGACCACATGTTCCAGGCAGACAGATGGAGGCCCTCAGGGGGTCACAACCCCCCTTGTAAGGAAAGCTGGAGTCACATACGTGCACAATTTTGGTGAAAAAAAATACCAAGACATTGACACTTCACAGAAGATACTAGCAACTCTGTTACACAGACCTTAACCCTCTCAGCTTCCCGACTCTATTTTCTGATTTTCTTAAGGGTTGGGCAGCTACATTCTTCCTTGAGCACATTTTGCTAAGAAGAATAAGATGGAAAATTAGCATTCTCGGAGGCTCCAGCAATCATGCAGATGCAATAAGCTGAATACGTCGTGCAACAAAAATAAAACACAGAGCATGCTTCTATTTGGATCTGCGCTCTCCTAATAGCAACCACACATGCGTGTTAGATTTGGGATTATTGAAGATAGCACAGAAGTGGGGGAAGTGAGAGAGAGAGAGAGGTTAAATGGGAAAGGGAGGGGCACACTAGATCAGAGTTTTATTCCTAGGACATTATATGTGTGCGAGATACTATGAGGAGATCCTTGGAGAGGTACAGTGAAAGGAGATAATTTGCATTTTTAGTTGATTAAAAATATGATGTCTTTCAGTAAACAAATAAACATTTATGTTAAAATGGGACTACAGAAGATGGCAAAGTAGATCACCTTTTTGGTCCATACAACGTGTGGCTTTATTTTTTTTTTTTTATACTTTAAGTTCTGGAGTACATGTGCAGAACATGCAGGTTTGTTACATAGGTATACACGTGCCATGTGGTTGTTCCACCCATCAACCCATCATCTACATTAGGTATTTTTCCTAATGCTATTCCTCCTCTATCCTCCCCACCCCCTGACAAGCCCTGGTGCATGATGTTCCCCTCCCTGTGTCCACGTGTTCTCATTGTTCAACTCCCACTTAGGAGTGAGAACATGCAGTGTTTGTGAGAGGTGAAGCCAGCTGGACTTCCTGGCTTGAGTGGGGACTTGGAGAACTTTTCTGTCTAGCTAGAGGATTGTAAACGCACCAATCAGCACTCTGTGTCTATCTAAAGGATTGTAAATGCAGCAATCAGCACTCTGTAAATATGCACCAATCAGCACTCTGTAAAAATGCACCCATCAGTACTCTGTGTCTAGCTAAAGGATTGTAAACACACCAATTAGCACCCTGTAAAACGGACCAATCAGCAGGACGTGGGTGGGGACAAATAAGGGAATAAAAGCTGGCCACCCCACCCAGCAGTGACAACTTGCTCAGGTCCCCTTCCACACTGTGGAAGCTTTGTTCTTTCACTCTTCACAATAAATCTTGCTGCTGCTCACTCTTTGGGTCCGTGCCACCTTTAAGAGCTGTAACACTCACTGCAAAGGTCTGTGGCTTCATTCTTGAAGTCAATGAGACGAGGAACCCACTGGAAGAAACCAACTTCGGACACATCTTGGTGACCACAAAGGAACCATCACCAAGCAGTGAGTACCACTGGACCCCTTTCACTTACTATTCTGTCCTATTTTTCCTTAAAATTCAGGGGCTAAATACCAGCCACCTGTCGGCCTGTTAAAAGTGACTAGTGCGGCCACCAGACTAAAGACACAGGTGTCAGGCTTTCTGGGAAAGGGCTAACAACCCCTGACTCTTTGGAGTTAAGAGCACTGGTTTGCCTGGAACCAGCTTGCACTTTTCCTGTACTTCTGGGCTGAGTCGAGGGTGGACAGAGAGGAAAGCCATTCAGCTCCGGGATCCCGACAAAAAGTTGGTTGACTCTATAGCTATGAGTAGAACTCTCAAAGTTACATCGCCCAAGTGAGACTCGCCCATCTATCCTATCTATCCTGACCCTTGCCTCCTGGGTCCTAATGCCTGTCAGACAAACTTCCTCCTGCCTCTATTCTCTGACGCTAGTCCTGCTTCTAAAAACCACTCGCTGTCTCTGGTGCTTTTCTAGATTCTCCTAAAGAATGATTTCTAGTATAAACCTCAGGACTCTGTTCCCTTCTTTAGGCACCCGGGCTTACCAATCAGAAAGACATAATTTTTGCCCAAAGCCCCATTGCGGTGGGGGACTATCTGGAATGTTAGGATCCCTCCTCAGACTACCAGGCCTGAAGCTAGGATACGGGAAGCCTCAGAAATGATATCCTTCCTATTCATATGATGAGAAGTGAGGACAAAAGGTGTCACTCTTCCAACCCTGGAGATCTCTTGCCTCCCTCAGGGTATGACCCTCCACTTCATTTTGGGGCATAACATCTTTATAGGACAGTGGAAAGGTCCCAATACTAACAGGAGAATGCTTAGGACTCTAACAGGTTTTTGAGAATGTGTCTGTAAGGGCCACTAAATCCAATTTTTCTCGGTCCTCTCTGTGGTCTAGGAGAACAGGCAAGGGTGCAGGTTTTCAAGAATGAGTTGGTAAGGGCCACTAAATCCAACCTTCCTAGGTCCTCCTTGTGGTCTGGGAGGAAAACTAGTATTTCTGCCTCTGTGTTGGTGAGTGCAACTATTCCAATCAGCAGGGTCCAGGGACCATTGAGGGTTCCTGGGCAACAGAGGTTTCTGCTGCTGCGCCGGTGAGCGCAACTATTCCGATCAGCAGGGTCCAGGGACCATTACAGGTTCTTGGGCAGGGGATGGGAAACAAACAAACCAAAACTGCAGGTGGTTTTTTTCTTTCAGACGGGAAACACTCAGGCATCAACAGGCTCACCCTTAAAATGCATCCTAAGCCAGTGGGACCAATTCGACCCACAAACTCTGAAAAAGGGGCAGCTCATTTTTTCTGTACTATGGCCTGGTCCCAATATTCTCTCTCTGATGGGGAAAAATGGCCACCTGAGGAAAGTATAAATTACAATACTATCTTGCAGTTTGACCTTTTCTGTACGAGGGAAGGCAAATGGAGTGAAGTACCTTACGTACAAGTTTTCTTTTCATTGAAGGAGAATCCACACCTATGCAAAGCTTGCAATTTACATCCCACGAGAGGACCTCTCAGCTTACATCCATATCCTAGCTTCCCTATAGCTCCCCTTCCTATTAATGATAAGCCTCCTCTAATCTTCCCCACCCAGAAGGAAACAAGCAAAGAAATCACCAAGGGACCACAACCCCCTCCCCTGGCTATTGGTTGTGTCCCCTTCAAGCTGTAGGGGGAAGGGAATTTGGCCCAACTCAGGTACGTGTCCCCTTCTCCCTCTCTGATTTAAAGCAGATCAAGGCAAACCTGGGGAAGTTTTCAGATAATCCTGATAGATATACAGATGTCTTACAGGTCTAGGGAAAACCTTTGATGTCATTTAGAGAGATGTCATGCTAGTAGGTCAAACCCTGGCCTTTAATGAAAAGACTGCGGCTTTAGCTGCAGCCTGAGAGTTTGGAGATACCTGGTATCTTAGTCAAGTAAATGACAGAATGACAGCTGAAGAAAGGGACAAATTTCCTACCGGTCAGCAAGCCGTTCCCAGTATGGATCCCCACTGGGACCTCGACTCAGATCATGGGGACTGGAGTCACAAACATCTGTTGACCTGTGTTCTAGAAGGACTAAGGATAATTAAGAAAAAGCCCATGAAGTATTCAATGGTGTCCACCATAACTCAGAGAAAGGAAGAAACTCCAGACACATCGGAAGGAACAAACTCTGTACACACCATCTTTAAGAGCTGTAACACACCGCGAAGGTCCGCGGCTTCATTCTTAAAGTCAGCAAGACCAAGAACGCATTGGGAAGAACTAACTCCAGACACATTTGGTTTTCTGTTCTTGTGTTTGCTGAAAATGATGGTTTCCAGCTTCATTCATGTCCCTACAAAAGACATGAACTCATCCTTTTTAAAGTCTGTATAGTATCCCATGGTGTATATGTGCCACATTTTCTTTATCCAGTCTATCATTGATGGTCAACTGGGTTGGTTCCAGGTCTTTGCTATTGTGATCTGTGCTGCAATAAACGTATGTGTACAAGTGTCTTTATAGCAGAATGATTTTTAATCCTTTGGGAATATACCCAGTAATGGGAATGCTGGGTGAAATGGTATTTCTAGTTCTAGATCCTTGAGAAATGGCCACACTGTCTTCCACAATGGTCAAACTAACTTACACTCCCACTAACAGTGTAAAAGTGTTCCTATTTCTCTACATCCTCTCCAGCATTGTTTGTTTCCTGACTTTTTAATAATCGCCATTCTAACTGGCATGAGATGGTATCTCATTGTGGTTTTTATTCGCACTTCTCTAATAACCAGTGATGATGAGCTTTTTTTTCATGTTTATTGGCTACATAAATGTCTTCTTTTGAGAAGTATCTGTTCATATCCTTCACCCACTTTTTAATGAGGTTATTTGTTTTTTCTTGTAAATTTGTTTAAGTTCTTTGTGGATTCTGGATATTAGCCCTTTGTCAGATGGACAGATTACAAAAATTTTCTCCCATTCACAGATAAATTCCACCAGAGGCTTTATTTTTATACTTTTATATTAAATATTTGAGTTTTGAAGACTTTAAAGTATCTTTTTATTTGTTCTGGAAACCACATTATCTGTCATCAGAAAGATTTTGATTACATTTATTATAGAAACAATGGAAAAAATCATTCATTCACTCATTCATCCACTTATTTCTTCACTGTGAGGCACTCCCTTGCAGGGCATTTAGAGTAATTGGTCCCCACCAATCAAATGCCTTGAGCATTCCCCAATCATTGTGACAACCAAAAAGAAAACTAAAAGCCTCCAACTTATTTCCAAATACTCTCCAGAGGAAGGGGTTCAATCCCTCATTTTCCCCCCTTCTCTGCCACTTTTACAGGCTGAAAAGTCTTGAAAGACCTCGTGGATTTACAGCAACAATATGGTGCCCAACAATAAAGCATGAACAGTCTGGTGGGGAAATAGACAGGCAAGTGTAATCATTTCATTAAAGGATAACCACTTTCAGTCCCATTCAGTTTTAAAACTTCTACGTAATTATCAATTCAAAACTTAACTCTTCTCTTCCCTGAGTTCATACCAGAGCTGGGCCTTCAGAACCATGGTGTGAAGGATGGTGTATGTGCCAGAGGGCTGGAGAAGTAAAGCCCTCCTTCTCCTATCATTGACCCCTCTCATATCTTGCATGATACATGTTATGATTTTGTAAACAATTCCAGCTATCTATAGGATATCATCAGGATACCTACTATCTGTAGGAATTGTTGGAGGAAGAAAGTACTTTGGCCTAGTTTTATAAATAGAG